GTTCTATGTGGTCTTCTATGCGCGGCGTTTGACACGCAGTCTACGCCCAATCTGTCTTGTATCGCATTACTATCACGCGCAGTGGACTGATTTCGTTTCGTTTCGTGCGTTTGCGACAGCGCAAGTGAAATTGACAGCACGTAACGAACACTGCTGACATCGTCGACGTGTTTTACGAAGTAGTAAGTGGCAAGGAGAACATGCGTAGTGAAGGCGAGGAACCAGGCACTCTATCGTCATCGGAGTGGTTTAGGCGCTGTTTAATTCTAACACCTTCTAGTCTCACTACCCCGTGAAGCTGGGAATTAGTATTGCATCACAGTGCACCCTGTTTACGAAACTCCCTTTCTCTTGCACATTTCAGAATGAGGGAGGAAGAGGGGTTGCGGGAATGGAACTGGTGGCATAGCTTCAGATATTAGTTTCAAGACAAAGCATTAATTTTTGTTCTCGGTGAATTGCAGTTGTACGTTAAACTAAGACGGTTTATTGTGCAAATTTTATATTGTTTAATATTCGCAGACTGCGTTCTTCGACAGTTGGTTTTGTTGGTTGTAGGTCCGCATGCTCAAAACAATGACAGATGTTAATACTAACAATGGTTGGTGAATTACGTCCCAATACTACTATATGATTATGAGGGATGTGGCAGTGCAATGTTCTGAAAATTTTTCACCACGTGGAGTTCCTTGAAGTGCCCATAAATGAAAGTACGCAGGCCTCCAGCATTTCGCCTCCATAGAAATGCGGACGCCACTGCCGGTATTCGCTCCCACGACCTTCGAGTCAGCAGCCGAGCATCGCAACGACTAGAGCACCAAGGCTTTTTTTAAACCTTTACTAGACCATCGTGGTGGGTACTGGCTGATGTATGGCGCCGCCTCGGTAGTCAAGTGGCTAAGGTACTCTGCTGCTCACCCGCAGGTCGCGAGAATGAATGCCGGCTGCGGTGGCTGCATTTTCGATGAAAGCGAAAATGCTTTACGCCGATGTGCTCAGATTTTTCGCATTATGAAAAACCCAAGGGTGCTTGAACTTTCCGGAAGCCTGCACTACGCCACTACGGCGTCTGTTCTTATCATATAGTGCTTGTAGTGCTTTTGGCACATTGAGCACCCCCATATATATATATATATATATATATATATATATATATATATATATATATATATATATATATATATATATATATATATATATATATATATATATATATATATATATATATATATATAGTTATAAACTTCGAGAATAGTGCAGTATAGGAAACAAAACAATAAAATATTTATTTAATCCTAACAGTTTCGGCTGGTGGACCAGCCTTCTTCGGAGGATGTAAGTGAAATGATACAAGTTCCCGTAGCAGAGGGTCACCCTCACAGTTTAAAGACCCTCCAAAAAAAGAGAGAGAGAAAAAGACAAGCGGGCGAACGAGGTAGCAACAGACAACAAGAAGCAGAAGAAGGAGAGGAACTAGAAAGGAGCGACGGAGAGCCGCCGGAAACGAGCGGGTAATTCTGGCATTGTTGCTGCGTATAGGTAAGACGCGCCGCTACCTATACGCAGCAACAATGCCAGAATTACCCGCTCGTTTCCGGCGGCTCTCCGTCGCTCCTTTCTAGTTCCTCTCCTTCTTCTGCTTCTTGTTGTCTGTTGCTACCTCGTTCGCCCGCTTGTCTTTTTCTCTCTCTCTTTTTTTGGAGGGTCTTTAAACTGTGAGGGTGACCCTCTGCTACGGGAACTTGTATCATTTCACTTACATCCTCCGAAGAAGGCTGGTCCACCAGCCGAAACTGTTAGGATTAAATAAATATTTTATTGTTTTGTTTCCTATACTGCACTATTCTCGAAGTTTATAACTTTTATTACGGTAGCCGGAAGAAACTCTGATCATCTATTTCATCTATATATATATATATATATATATATTCAGAAGAATAACTTCGGTTGCCGCAAGGTTATAAATATGAAAGTAGATGCGCTTTCACATAACAACTATTTATTCTGCCGACGTTGGCAGAATAAACAGTTGTTATGTGAAAGCGCCTCTACTTTAATATATATATATCAAGAAGTGGAAGACGGGCAAAACGAAAACTTGTTATTTTTTCTACGTTTCAGCCGGGGACCGGCCTTCATGAGGGAAACCTGATGAAAACCTGGTTTTCTCTGATGAAGGCTGGTCCCCGGCTGAAACGTAGGAAAAATAAAAATTTTTCGTGTTGCCCGTCCTCCACTTCTTGCTATTTTTCCACTGGATCCACGAACACCTTCTTTTTCATATATATATATACATACATATATATATATATATATATATATATATATATATATATATATATATATATATATATATATATATATATATATATATATATATATATACTGGGAATAATAATTCAATGGGCCAGTTAGTCTTCGTGATTGTATGGGATATGGCCCAACGGGAGCGTTGTCAACAAGGATAAAAATATTTATTTCCCAAAAATTTCGGGAGGGGTCCTCCCTTCGTCAGAGGATGAGTTATACTAACACAGACGTTCAAACTTCATTGCTGCCACGTCCCTCACGCCTTGACAGATGTTTGCGAGAGTAAAAGAAAAGTAAAAAAAAACCACTGTGAACGCTGAGCACGAAACCGGCCCTTGCACATTCAAATGTCGTTGTATATATATATATATATATATATATATATATATATATATATATATATATATATATATATATATATATATATATATATATATATATATATATATTCTCCTGGGTGTGGTGTCTGTATTTTATTGCTCGGGGCGCGCAGCCACGACAAGTGCCTTCGTGGGTCGAACAGGGAGGCATGGAACATATGCGTTGTGTTTTGGCTGTTTCCTCTTGGTGGGATAAAGTGGACGGGTGAAAAGTTAAGGGGGAGGGGTGCCTCTGAAAATTTTGATTCATTTTTTGAATTTTGATTCTGAACCTGAACAGAATTTGGAATTTCGATACAGATTTTCGTTGGCCCACAAGCTTTGATTTACCACCTTGAACGAAAATACACTCCATGTTTCGAAAATATAGTGGTACAGAGCTAGAAGAGGCGGTCTTCAACCGTCCATTCAGCGCTGTTTGGGAGACGGCGGCGCCTTACAAATCCAGCTGCTCGATCTGACTTCCCTAATAAACATAATTGCACAGCGCAAAACTACGCGTAATACGACGTAACTATAGAAGAAGAGGCAAGAAAGAGCGCTTTTGATTCCCATAATGTTGATACCTAATAAACTTTCATTTACTTCCCTAATTATCTTTACTGATGTGATGTGTATAACAATTTGATGGATGTTTTTTTTAAGATACAAATTTTTCGATTATAAACAGACTACCACCCTACCTTCATGTAAGGGAGTTTTTGAATAGGGGCCCCAATCGTTTTGGGTACACAAAGAAATAACGTCGAGGCCACTGCGCATGCGCGAGACTCAAACCGCGTTTGGGTTTGGTGGCGCTATTTTTTGAACCGATAATTCTTGAGCTCCAACCCTTTTCGAAAAAGCGTTGGGTGAAACAATCATGACGACACCCACTGAAGCGATAACTCGTGGCTAATGTGTGAGTGAGCTAAGATAGGGGGAGTGTCGAAAGCACCGACGACCCTTTTCGAAAACTTATAGCTCCTGCTTGACCCAAAGCAAGCGCGCAAAAAAAGATTTGGGGCCCGGAAAGGGTGGTACCCTTATTACTCGAAAACTTTTTATTAGTTCCTTCATCTTTAGAAATTCCTATCCAAATGACCTGTGTGAGTCGTTTTAGAGCAATCCTACGTAGTTTCCATGGTATTTTTGGAATTCCCTTAGGCCTCATTTATTTTAATATGCACAGCTAACATCTTTCTTTTTCAACCTTCTATCTCTCGCTTTTTAAAATTCTTTTATCTCATTGTTTTTCTTTTATTTTCAATAAATTCGTTATATATATTTTTTCAATTTTCATATTGAAAATTCCCTTGACTTTTCTTTTAACTGAAGTGCATTGTCTCTTGCAAGTATTAGCCAAGTTCTCCTTCATGACAAAGCAAAACGAAACCTCTTGGCCTATTGGATTTCACCGTATATAGCCTGGGGATCATCATCGCCAAAGGCGGGTGCCAGCGCGTGGATCGGTCGTGCTCACGAGCCACTCGCCTCGGTGATTTGGAACCGGCTGGAGGCCTCGAAGGACATCGGTAGCCCTGTGAGTATACCCTAGCCCTCGTGTACTCTCGTACTAACTTCCGCATAGCAGATGATTACCCAAGCGTGGCCAAGCCAGTGAGCTCGGCCGTCTAGGCACGGCCTAGTTCAATGACTAGGCGCGGCCAAGCCTAACCGATCGACCGCCCGGCGAGGCCTAGTTATTACGCCAACTGCTTGACTTAGCTTTTGAAAATACTTAGGCCATTGCCAGCGGCCAGAAGCTCTTCTGGGAAGCTCACAGAAGACTTGGCTTCAGAGCTCCTTCATTTTACTTCCATTCGGTGGTCGAGATGTTATCGGACACAGGGAAAGCAAGCTCCAAAAACTATGCCTCCACTGTGCGATATTTATTTTTGACAGTTTTAACGGCGAGGGAGTTGATAAGTACAAAGTTGGGTGTATATTTTGAATGACCACAAGTTGATTTTATCAATTTATGTTCTTGAAGTTTGACATGATTGCTGTGGGTAGCGTTATTAAGCAGGCGTGATCGGCAGAGTGGGAATGCTGCCGCAGGATGCCGAAATCACAAATTAGTTTTGAATGGTAACATCGCAAAGGAGCTCCTACGCTTAACGGTTGTATGAGTGAGCACCCGCAAACTTTTTGTAGGTTGGGTGTTTTTCCCGTTTAGCGAAACGAAAATTTTGTGGATGAAGACTGGCGCATAAAAATTGCATAACACATGTAAAGTTATCATTGCCTTATTTCTTTGTATGCCGACACAAGCATATAACAGTGTGGGTCACCGAGTGTGAATTGTTTTTCATTAACTGCGCATTTCAGATTGCAAGAGGATGAGTTACCCGACGGCTCCAGGGCATGAGGTGCACGCCGACGCCGTAGGGCGGAGCTCTCCTTTAGGCAACGAGGGCTACCAGGCATCAGGCATGCAGCGGCAGATGCCACCATCAGTATATAGGGCCATCCAAAATGCCCTGCAGGCTGCTATCCTCGATGCACAGCAGCAACAGCAGCAGCGGCACACTATGGCAAATATGGGCTACTACCCAAACACGACGGCTGCCTCCTACCAGACGTCCGCGGCACCTCAGCAGCAGCAACAACAGCAGCAGCAACAGCAGCAGGAACAGCAGCAGGAACCGCAGCAAAATTTCATCACCCAACAGCTTCAACAACAGCTACGACAGCAGCAACATTTCCAAGAACAGCAACGGCTACAGCAGGTACAACAGCAACTGCAGCAGCTTATACAGCAGCAAGTACAACAACTTCAGCAGCAGCAACAACAGCACCAACAGCTGCAGCAACAGCAGCAGGAACAGCAGCAGGAACCGCAGCAAAATCTCATCCAGCAACAGCTTCAGCAACAGCTACAACAGCAGCAACGTTTGCAAGAAGAGCAACGACTACAGCAGGTACAACCACTGCACCAGCAGGTACAACAGCAACTGCAGCAGCGAGTACAGCAGCAAGTACAACAGCTTCAGCAGCAGCAACCGCAAGAGCAGTACGCGCGCCAGGCCCAGATGTACCAGGACTACCCGACTCAGGCCTACGCCATGCCGTACACCAGCCAGGCGTCATACCAGCAGGCGCCGGACTTCCCGGCTTCCAGAAGCTACAGAGCAGCCCAGACGGGGTACCCGCTGAACGGACCGACGGGCTACTTGGCTAGCTGGCCAGGTGCGTCTACTAGTGCGGGTTAGTATATGCATTTAACAAATTTAACTGAGCATATTGCGGAAAACACTCACGTGCTATGCTGCACATTAACTGCAGCTGTACGTAGTAAACTAGAATAGTTCACAGTAGCGTTTCAATACCGGGCCACTCACCATGCTCTAAAGATACAAAAATACAAAACGAGTGCAATAATCTCTCGTGATATTTCTTGTCCTTCTTGTGCACTTTTCTAACGTTGACAGCGGTTCCCATGACGTTTATAGTGTACATGCTCTCGATTAGTCCATATACGTGAAGTATTATATGTGACTTCTCTCCTCTCTGCTTTGCCATGCAGCTGCCTATGCGCTCTTTGTTGCGGCAGATGAATATCGTGTACGGTCAGCCAATCACACTTCATTTTGTGTGTTTACAAATGTGCAAGCGGTGCCTGTAGCCGAGAAGCGCGAAATATATAGCTCTAGTGCTTAGTGCTGACATTCTTCACGTGCTCTCAAGAACTTAGCGGCTAGGAGGATGCATAGTGTGGAGAAAGGGTAGTGAAGAAGAGAAAACCACCCCCTCGTCTTTGAACGTAGGGTGGTGAGTGGCTCTTTAAGAGTTTTTTTTTAAACAAATAGCCGTGTTCGCGAGATTGAACCGTATAGTGTCGATGCGCTAAGATTACGTGAAAGCAAGATTATTGCATACTAGAGAATGGTACGCTTTCGAACGGTTTTATTTACTTCTTTTTTAGGCTATGTGACGCCAGTATAAATGTGATTGCTTGAATTGCTGTGGATAAAATAATATAAATATTGTGTACACCGAAAACTACTGATTATTGCATCAGTTCGAGTCATCCAATGGTACCTGATATTTCTATCTGGCGTTAAGTTGAAGGAGTAAAAATCTTGCAGTTCTCCCGGACGAACGCTTAGTTAGCAGCAATATCGAGGTTTAGCACTGCACTAAAAATCCTCAGACGGGGCATGCATCAATGATATGCAGGGATGGTATGTTGGCTATCGTTACTGTACTTTACGTCATGAAGTTCATCCTTCTCTGTTCTAGAAACTGCGTCTTTTAAAGCACATGTATGGTAAGCATAAAAACAGAAATATACAAAGTAATGATAATCTAATTTACACCAAGCAGCTAGGTGGCGAAGAACCGCCATGGCGCTAATTTAATGGCAAGTGAGGTGTTTTTATATCTTCTTTTTCAAATTGCAATCAAAACTCTAGATGTATATCGCGCTCGGCAATGCCCCTCGTTTCATCGACACTTTGGCTGAAGTGGCCGGCGATAAACGTGCGTTCTGATCTTTATATAATTCATTTTCATCTATTTGTTTCAGCCCTTTAGTATTTACTTTTACCTAACTTTGAGCTGGTTACTACTGCTGCCAAACTTGACGTACTTTTGTCATATGGATGAAGTGTACACGGGGTGCCCCGCCGTGGTGGTCTAGTGGCTAAGGTACTCGGCTGCTGACCCGCAGGTCGCGGGTCCAATTCCCGGCTGCGGCGGCTGCATTTCCGATGGAGGCGGAAATGTTGTAGGCCCGTGTGCTCAGATTTCGGTGCATGTTAATGAAGCCCAGGTGGTCGAAATTTCCGGAGTCGTCCACTACGGCGTCTCTCATAATCATGTGGTGGTTTTGGGACGTTAAACCCCACAAATCAATCAATCGAAGTGTACACGGAGCGATGGGTCATACTGAAAAGACATATGCCTCATTTGCAAACTCGTCTTTAAAGCCACTGACGCTCACGTTAAATGTAACCATTGTCGCTACTCTTATCACATAAATGCTGCGGTGTAACTGAGCGACATGATACGACAAGAAGTGCTGCTGGTGACTTTCGAAAGAATTATGTCTGTCCGATGTGTAAATCTGGCGTGTCCCACAGAGGTGCGGAGACTACTGTTGATGTTTCTCAAAAGTTCAATCTTCCTGTTGCTTATGCTCAACTTAGCCGGAAGCTAGACCTTTTAATGCCGCTAAAAGAGTTGTTTGATTACGTTGAACGGGCATTGCAAATGATTGATTGATTTGTGGGGTTTAATGTCCCAAAACCACCATATGATTATCAGAGACGCCGTAGTGGAGGGCTCCAGAAATTTTGACCACCTGAGGTTCTTCAACGTGTACCCAAAGCTGAGTACACGCGCCTACAACATATCCGCCTCCATCGGAAATCCACAGCCGGGATTTGATCTCGCGACCTGCGGGTCAGCAGCCGAGTACCTTAGCCACTAGACCACCGTGGCGGGGCCATTGCAAATGATGTCTGATCACTTCTATAACTCTTTGAACTCGTTCGAAAGCCAAGAAAAACAAATTGAGCGACTCCAAAAAAGAACTGACCAGTTGGAACGTGCGAGGCCAGACCAAGAACTCCACCAGTTAAACGCAGACTTGAACGACTTGGAAGTGCGTAGTAGGAGCAAAAACCTGGAGATTCATGGTGGTATTTATTGAACACGAGACCATCTGCCAAAAATTGATGCGGTAGCTAGACTGATTCAGATTGCCGAGAGCGGTGACCATGACATTGAAGCGTCATCGGCTTCAAGCGAAGGCAAATAAGACACCTGCTATTATCGTGCGCTTTCAAAGCCAAAAACTGAGGAATATGTGGTTACAAAAAAAAAAACGTACTAAAGAAACTAGGTTCTAAGGTGTTCACATCGGAAACTTTGACACGCCAGGCTAGATAATTTTGTGGATGGTGAAACAATTGACTCGCGAAAACGGTTTTCAATAAGTATGGTATGCCAAAGGAAATATCCTCTTCCGAAAGGTGAATGGTCAATCTTCATATATGATGAATGATGTCAGTCAGCTGGCCAAGTTATCTGTGCGATAAATATTTGTGCGAATGTAACAATGTGGCCGTCTGCTCATGATGGCTAAACTTTCGGTGCGTGCTACCATGAGACGTTCGCAGTACTTTGCCTGGCGAGTCGCTTGCCTCATCCGTGAAGTGTATTCATTTTAATAACGAGGTAGATGAACTTGAAATTTTCTCTTATAGTTTTGATATGCCTTTTGACTTTATGATTTCAGAGTCTTGGCTCATTAGTGACTTCATTTAACCGTCATTTACAACATTTGCTATGAACCGTGATAAAGGCCGCGGCGGAGGTGTATGCATTCTCGATATTGAGAAAATTGAATGTGAATCTGTTTTGAAACCCATTTGCTTGTCATCTGCAGTCGAAGTTGTTTCCACAGTGATACATAATAAGTGTCTATTTTGTGTTTTATATACCCCCTAGTGGGGAGATATTGAATACATAGGGCAGTTTTTGAATACATTGAATCATACTTTTCTTTAATTTCTGCGCAACATTATGACGTTATAATGAGAGGAGACTTCAATGTAGACATGATGTCTAGATCTACGAGTGCCACTTATTTAAACGTAATAGTAAGAAGCTTTGGATTTCGCATTGTTGTTGAACATCTAACTCGTATTACTGCTAACTCCGAAACATTAAATGATTTTCATTACTATCAATACTTCTGTTATACACTGAAAGGTAACGTGTTGCGAAATAAGCGATCACATGGGTATTTGTTTTTCCCTGAAATTCCACCTCGGTCTAAACGTTTGCATGCTCCAACAGTGCAGTGTAATATACCCAATGCTCTGAAAAAGATTTGTAGCGAAATATCAGCTACACTTTGGGATGACGTGTTCAATAAAACTGACGCTGAGGAAGCTTATGCGAAATTTCTGGGCCAGGTCTGCGGTATTTATATTAGGCACTTTCCAATTACGAATAAACCAATATCGAAAACAAAACCTACACAGCCTTGGATAACACGAGAGGTGTATGATCGCATAAAACGTAAAAATAAATCTATCATTCCTGTATAGCCTCCAAAAGTATGGATTTGTTTGAAGAGTTGAAGAGCTATAGAAAACGGTAAATAATGATATACGAAATGCTAAAAGACCATCCCGAAAATCAGTTCCAACTTTCAATTCGGCTTCCAGATAAACTATGGGCAAAAATGCGGTCTCTCGACATAAACTTTGTTGAGGATAAACATTTTGATACAGTCATACAAAATGGCCATGTTTACACAGGCGAACAGTTGGCTGAAGCTTTCAGCCAGCATTTTTCTAAACAGAACTCTCCAGTATAATACTCTCATGGCACGCATAGTACCAGATGTTTTTCATCCATTTTTTAACCCGTTACAGAAAATGAGGTCAAAAGGACGTTCTCCGAGCTATCAAACAGTACGTCACGTGACACAAACAATACACAGATTCCACCTGTGAAGCACGTAATGGAGGTAATTTCTGCATCGCTAACACACATTTTAATTATGTCAGGATACCGCGACATTTCCATCTTCTATGCAAACAGCAAAAGCTGTTGTACTTTACAAAAACGGCGACAAAAATTATTTTGGTGATTCTACACCAATCAGCATCGTTCCAGTATTCTGAAAATGTTTGGAAAATGTTATATACAAGCGAATAAATAGGTTTTGGTATGCTCACAACATACACAGAAAAAAAACCGGTCGGCAGAAATGGCTGTTCTTCGTCAAAAAGAATATCTACTGGATACATTTGGGCAAAATAAATTCGTGCTAGGCATTTTTATAAAATACTCTAAAACAATTGACTGTATTGTGCACAGAATTTTTTACAATAAGTTAGATTTTTGTGACATAAGGCTTAAGGGGTCATGCTTTAGAGTTATTAAAGTCATGTATATAACACTAAAAACAGTATTTTCAAATTGGCAGTTTTTAATCAAGAGCACGCGCCATCAAAACCGCAGTACCTCAAGGTAGCATAGTGAAGCCTCTTATTTTTAACATTTACACCAACAATATTACGCATATTGAGTGTGATTCTAAATTTATAATTTATGCAAATTTATAATTTGTACTTTTGCCAGTTGACACTCATAAAGAGTTAGCTTTGCATGAAAACAGTATTTTGAGAAACTTAGAACTATGGATTATTGAAAATGCATTTTCATTTAATGTAAAAGACTAAAGCTAATATTTTAACTGCAAAATTAAAAAATCAGTCACTCCAATAAAATTACAATATCAATCGCAGTCTGTGTAAATTATGAAATGTATAATATCGCTTGGAGTCTATTTTACACAAAGTATGCAATGGAATCACCATGTCAGTAATGTTTTTCTGAAGTCCTCTAGATCTGTTGGCACACTTTCGCGTCATAGATGGCTGCTACCATGCTTTATTTTTTTCTCAATTAAGTTACTGTACGTTAGTGTGGGCCGTGATGATAGAAAGTAATTTAAAAAGGTTTCTGTATACACAATACAATTATTTTTTAATTTATAATGTTCCATACAAGCATAACATTCATCATTTCTTTATTGAACACAGCATTATTAACGCTTTCAACTTATAGAAATATCGACTGCTACGACACTATTAAACAGAACAAAAAAGACGTTTGTCTACATTATCGGAGTTAGCCGATATGTTACTACCAACATCGTATTCAGCCTCTTTGGGTACTTCCTCACACAAGAAGAAATTATGGTATGCAAAAAGTGTCTTATCAGTACCATTACATATAAATAAACTCCATTTTGCAGGCATTGAAATTAGAAAAAATGCATTAGCACAGCTCCGCGAATTTTTTGTTATTTCTAACTGTAAAGTACACCTTTAGCATTTAGCCCGTTATGTGTATAATGCAATGTGGCGCCATCTTCTGTGCCTCTTTTCTACTCTGCTCCTAATGTTACCTTTTTCCTATATTAGCACAATTGCCTCCATTTAAAATGCCTCGATTACATGTGCGTTAATATATTTTTGTAATGAAAGGGAGTTACTGTGACCATTATAAGTATTTTGTCGCCACCACTCCCTCTGCCTCATGTAATAGGGGGGGGGGGGACTTAGTCAAGTGGCCGGTCCACTCCCTCCATCAACAGTGTATCGGTGGAAATAAAGTCATTATTAGGTAACAAAAATAACCGTAATATATGAGCACATGAAGATGGCAGGATATTTTATTCTTTGCTGGTTTCATGCTGAAAGAAGTTTTTGAAAGCAGCTGCGTTAAAGTGCGGTGTGTTAAATAATAACCTTGGCGAGGGAAGGTTTAAGGTGATCGTTGAATCCACGATGGACAATAATACTCATGGAGTAATACGGTACATCCGTTTAGCGCTTCCTAGTCACCCAACTCATCGTAAGCCGACGAGAACGACATGCGTAAACGGCTATCTATATGAAATTGGCGTGAATGGACCGTGCCAAAAGGCAGGGTAAGGGGGTACGAATTATGCAAGTCAATCCCTTTATTGCTAACGTCCACTACGCACTTCAGCAGGCCGTTCTGACGAATGTTAGGAATATTAGGTTCACCTAGCCGCCTTACTAAATGCGCTGTACCAGAATACCGAAGAAACACATCGTAGAACTATGGTAAACGCCTCCACGTAGAATATAATATTCATTTCCTCACTCAAATGCGCCAGCATAAAGCGACGCATAGTTTCTAGAGTGAAAAGTTAAGCACCAAGCAGGACGGACAACAGAGAAGAGATTAGACAAGCGCTGTTTTATAATAGCAAGGCAGTCAGATTTGAGCAACTTTCATTTGCTAGTAATAATTTCCAGCCATCGATGAGGAACTGTGCACGTTCACAATAGCAAACCTTCCATGTCCCACTTCAAGGGCTTAAGTTCTTTGTTTTTCAATGTGATCTAAGTGTGAATGTTAAGGTATAATATTCCTATGTGAGAACGATTGAGCTTCGTTTCATGGATTGACTGAGACGTCGTTGTGGTCTTTTTTTTTATTTAGCGTTCACAGACAGACAGTCAAAAAGTCCGTGGGCCGCTTACCAGCAAGCGACCGGGTTGTGGGCACCTCGGCGTTTCTTACCGCAGAACGCCGACGTCGGTCGCCAAAATTACTACTACAGTAAGTGTCTTTGCGGATTTTCTATCTCATACCGCCGTCTCAGAATTGTTATAAAGCAAGAGTTAGCAGCCTTGCCCCAAGGACCCCCTTCTTGCCTAACGCAGTCATATATACATTGCGCAAAGAAAGGGGTTAGTCTTTTATGCAAATTATTTTTTGGGATCTGTAATAGTGCCCAGTCCTTTCAGCATATTTTGCACGATGATCTGTTACCCTCAGGGCCTGAAGTTTGATGCTACGCTGTTGGTTAACAATAGCTGCTTACTGGTTTGGTTAAATTAAATGAATACAAACGCTAGGGTGTTCAACCGCCCTCTTTTTTTCACCCGAAGGTGTTTTATGCTGTGGTGCTTATTGATGGCATCTTTGCGCGGGATTCACTGTAGTTTTGTCTGTGAATATAAGCTAAAACGTTCAGGTACCAGTGATGTATTGTCGTCAAGCATAGAATATTGATAAAATGAACGTTATCGGATGGAAAAAAAAGAAAAGAAAGAGCATCCGCCGCCGGAAATCAAACGTATGACCCCTCGGTTCGCAACAGTAGGGCCCGGTGCTTTAACGACTAAGCCGCCGAGGCACATTTGTGACGCTCGCAAACTTACTTTGTATGTTTCCCACATTCTTTCTCGCACTGTGCTCTCTGTTGACGGGGCTAGGTCGGGCTATGCGAGACCAGTGCTGGATAGGTGGCGCCCCGTAAAAGAGCACCTGGCGGATAGTTGCGACACAACTCAGCTCCTCGCGCACAGACGACCAGCCGCAGTTGTACCACTCTGCGAGCACGCATGTGTGCCGCTGCTGGGCATCATTTTGGAACGAGCAGCTCGAAAAGCCTTTGCGCCTGTAATTATCCACTGTGGTTTCGAAGAATAACTTTGTGCGAAGGATACTCCGACATAAAGAGCACTGAAAAACGGGGACAAGCCCTGCAAAGCGGACTGTGGCTTTGCATATATAGTATCGAATGGACAGTGCTGGTCCGTGATGGCAGCTCCCTCGTCCTTATTTTCTGGTTGCGTGCTGGGTTCGGGCTAATGCTAGTGCTGGCTGACATGCCCCCATCTGCAGTAAAACAAAAGAGAACAAAAACGAAAGCACTGTAAGTGGTAGCTGCGTTCATTTTTTTTTTCTGTTATCGTGTGTACGCCCTGTCAGCGGTATTTATTCACAGGGACGTGGATCAAGCATAATACCATGGCAGCATAGCACGAGTTGTGTCACACTGCCATTCTTTAGGGCTCGGGATAGATTATCGACCATAACGGCCGCACTTCGATGGGGGTGAAACATAAAAAAGAACACCCGTGGACTAAGATATATGTGCGCATTGGAGAACCCCAAGCAGTCAATATCTTGATACGTACACTACAGCGTATGAAAATGATAGCTTGTTTGGCACATGAAAACCTGGGAATTATCGATGTTGAACAGACACCTTCATTTTATACCGACCCAGGGAAGCGGAAAAACTTGAACAGTGTGTTGGTGAACAAAACGAGTGAAAATTGAAGACATTTCAAACTTCTCTAGCAAGGCATAAATTCCAATGTTACTTAGCCACGGCAGCCAAAAAACGCTTACCACATCGGCTGACTCAAGAAAGCTAAGCTTCGAGTAGTATGCTGCTTTGTTCGTAACAAGAACTAGCCTGTCTTTTAACAGAATTAAAACAAAACAGTAAAACGAAAGTTAACAGAAGCATCTCGGCACCGAGTGCTCACCGTGAGAGCATCTTTTATAGCAGCACGGAGGCGTAGTGCGAGAACATGGCCCCACACAAGTCTTATGGACAAGGTAACTTTTCTTTACACGCAACTGTTTACAAAAAAAAAACTATCTGCCTATCGTTTCATTCACTTCACGTGGTGGCATCAGATGGAGTTTGATGGCGGTGGTCAGATGGATGGAGGCATGGAAAGTGTTAGACCTGAAGTAGGCCACACAACGCTCAGCGGGCCTCATAACAAATACATGTGTTGTATGTTGTATAATACGCTTGTTTTTTCTTTCGGTAAAACACCGTTCAAACTCGACTGTTTGACCTTGGTTTCCACTGGTGGCTGTCTTCACGATCGAATAAGTATAGCAGACATGCGCCATTTGGTTTAGAAACGAGCCCGGCAGCACTAGAGAGGAGAGCGAGAACATCGCCTCCTCTTTTTTACGTGTCCCCTTTCCTCTATACGCCATATATTGTTGCACTCGAATACGCAGCAGTAGCGCCAGCGCCCTTTAGTTTTGTTACGGCGATGCCCTCCCCGCACCGCCGCTACGCGGCGCCGCTCTCGTCTGCGGGAGCAGGTGAGAAGTGCACGCTCTCACCGACAGGGTGGTCGTGGAAACTCCAGCACTGGTTCCTAGTGCGCCACAAAACGCGCATCAAGGCATCTTGAATGGGACGGGGTGGGGCCGCCATCAGTAAGCGAAGTGGCGTAACGAGTGACGTAACGAAGTGA